GTGGAAGCCCCCCCCATTTTATCCCCCCCCCCCCCCCTCTCCTCAGCCCCAACCCCAACTGTTCATCTTCTTTCACTTCAATTCAAAAGCTTTCTAGATGTTAAATCAGTTGTTTAATATTTTGTTGTACAGCTTTTATAAAGCTGTTTTTGCCTCCCATCACAGATAGGGTAGTCTAGGTTCATAGACTAGTTTTTGTTTAATAGTGTATCTTTTCTGCATATATATATATATATAAAACTGCAGCTGTGTAGAGCAGTTTTGAGGTCACAAATTCAAATCTTAAGTCTAGATAATATAAAGTCTTTTCTTTAACACATATAAACAAAATGTGCAAGTTGACAAACACTCATTGCCAGGCCAAAAGTTAGTACAGATAATATTTCTAGCTTTACCTGGAAGAAATCTCCTTTTGCCAAAAGAAAATAGTCTTTTAAGGCTTTCAGGTGGCCATTCAAGTCAGCACGGACAACCACAAGCTGAAGACATGAAGGGAATAGAAATAGAAATTGAAGGCTCTGAAGTCTGAACATAAATGCTCCAAAAACTAATAAATACATGAACCAGAATATTTATGTTAACCACCTGCCACAGATGACTAGCCGCAATAGCCTGAACAGAGTCCACAGCACATTCAAATGATCTTTTATGAAATTCAGATGATTCCTATGGAAAATTAATGATGAGTAACTAAGAGGAAATGTAACTAGTAAAAAAAGATTCATTAGTCAGCTAGTTAGAACTGTAGAGGTAAACCAAATAAAAGGCTGCCAACAATCCAACTATTTAAGAAAACAGCTTTGGAAAATCAGCATCTATATGATAGAGTGAAGTGGTAGGACATGAAAACCTTTAGGTTCAGAAGCATTGCTTCAATCTTATCTGCCTCAGATTGTGGAAGCAAATCTTCTCCCATTCCCATATTAATTGCAGGTTCCCTCTGAAATTGAAAACGCCCTGCTAATCCATGTATTTTCTGAAAGCTTTTAGGCATTTGAGGATGCACAGCATCCCCAGACTGGAAGGAAGGACTTGGATTTCGTAGAACCCTAACAGCTTTGCCAGCAAAAAGAATTGATTCAGCAACACGCATAGGTATATATTCTGGTAGCATATCCTGCAAAACAAAATGTGTAAATAGTAAAAATTGTATGCATAAACCATTGGTGACCACTGACCTGTCAATCTAAGTAAAGAACATTAAGAACTCCACATAAACTGGACAAAATCCTATTCATTAAAGAATGAAACATGGAATTCCAACGATACAGAAAAATGAGCTAAAAAAACTAAGCTGAAATAATAAGATTATGTCTGTTTCAAAGTATAATATTGCATTCCAAGGAATGACATTCTTAGGAATACTATAACCAGGAATGACGATTAGAATAAAAAGTAAGAGAAGAAATGGAAGTTATAATTGGAACATGTTCCTATGGAAATATAACTTTCCCAACTCTAATATAGGGGGAAAAATGAAGTAAAACAAAGTATTGCTACTTTTCCTGGCATGAAAAATACCTTGGATTTAGGAATAATTTTTTATGGCTCATGAAGAACATGGAAATATTATATTCCAAAATTAACATTGTTGGGAATAAAGTTTTAAACCTTGAAACAAACACACTCAAAGGAAATCAGCTTAGTGTCATGACATGTCCAGAATTAGCTAATAATGAGAATTACCAAAGAAATATGAAAGCCCAAGTGCCAATCAGTCAAAGATGCATCATCAGTTGACATGCGTGCCAACTTTTCAGAAATTTCTGGCTGAGATGAACTATTTTCTATATCTCTATCTTCTTGCCTGAAAATCAAATGAATCAGGTCAACAATATAACTACAAAGCAATCGCAAATAACAGATCCTAAAACCTAAGAAATCAGAAATTATCAATGCTACCAAACAATCACAAAAATTGAAAGAAATGAAGAGGATGAACTAATGTCCAGATAAATTAGCTTCATGTACCAAACATGTCATATTTAACCAACATAGTTTTTTTCTAGTTTGGAGGGGAGAGATTGGAGGTAATAAAACCTTAATTCTTTTTATTGTTTCGGTAATAGGTTCTTTAAGTATACAATATAACTATGGGGTTTTATAGAGACAAAAAATAGAAAGAAAGGAAACAAAAATACTATGAAATTGTTATTAACCTGATATGATGTGATGACATGATCATAAAACCTAGAGTACCAACCCTTATTTATACTATTCATAATCCTAACTAGCAGGAGACAAATCATGAGATAATGAAATATGGTAACCAACTTTAAAAGATAGTGAAGAAATTGGGAAAATAATCGTGATAAATAGATACTATAAGATATGATCAAGATAATATTATATGAGTTAATCACCTATACACTGCCAGTGTAAAGTTTTTTTACACTGGCAACCAATTATATCTTTTAATTGTGCCATGTTACTGTAAACACATTTACTTTTAACAGTAACATGACATGATTAAAAGATATAATTGGTTGCCAGTGTAAAAAAACTTTACACTGGCAGTGTATAGGTGATTAACTCATTATATTCCATATATTCTAAGTTTCTAATAGATAAAATGAATAAGTATTGTTTAGTCATTGTCAAATCATGGTGACAATAGCATATAACAGAAACTATTGAAATATGGCAGGGGATACAACTGTTTTGATAACTTCTGAGAGTAATTGACGATAATAATAATAATAATATTTATAACCAATTTAATAGTACAATACATCAATTGTGGAAATAAAATATTATCACAAAAGGCCCTCACAAAGTTTAGAACTCTGGGATAATAAATGAAAAGTATATCTTATTTTAATCACCATTCTTGCAATACAATAACACTGCATCAGTCTATGTGACTACGTCTACAACCGAGACACGTTACAAGCATATAAACAATATAAAACTAAAACTTAATATTGAGTTACCTCCTAATGAAAAACTCTCCATGCTGATCTTGAAGTATCCCATAAACCATCCATGATGCAAGCTGGTTATACATGACCTGGTGCCCATGCCAAAGAAGCCTAAGCTTTGGACAAGAATAACCGAAAAAGATGATAAGAATTAACCAGGAGTGTAATCTGAAGACTTATGCAATATTTTCAGGACAAGAACAAACAATTAGTTCCAAAACATCATTCACCTGCAAACTAACCCAACATGATAGTCTTCAATATTTTCTCTTCACACCTATAACTTTTCTCTACATTAAAGACTGTATAGTGACTAATAGCATTAAAAAATTCATGACTTAAAACCATAAATGTTTTATTGACTACTAGTCTAACACAACAGCAAAACTTAGAGGCAGATCATCATCACAATATAGCCGGAAATGACGTAAAAAAACATCTTAACATTACCAAGAATCCTATGTGCGAAAAAAACTGCATACCTTTGCATGCAAGTCTGTAATTCAGGCACTCCACAGTGGCATCTCTTATGTAGAAGATTAAGAAGTTGACCTCCACGTATATCATCACGCTCAATTTCTAGGATGAGCTCATACAGAGGAGGCAAAAGGCAAAAAAACTGAAAAGCAAGTCAAAACAAAATCAACATCCAAATAGACAGAAAAAAAAAAGGGGGCGACAGAAAAAATTTACCTTGTTAAGGCCCTGAGTAACTGTTGCCAAGATAGGCATGGATTCAGACAACAACTTCTGCTCAATATGCAGAACCGCAGACCTATAAACTGAGAGTATTTCAACAATGCCATTGGCTAGGGCCCTACGATAAACACTTCCCTTCTCCTTTTTCTCCAAAGGGCTCGCATTTGCAGACCTTATCCAACTTAAGTTCCTAGACTTGGCTGAAAATCGCTCCATCTCCCTATAATAAAACCCCAACACGATGATCCTCTCAATAAGTTCCCTGCACTCAACACACAATTCACTCGAAAGTTTCAATTTTCAACGTGCCCATAAAAAAAATACCCTAGAAAAGTAAACGAATTGTTTTGGGGGTTTAGAAAAAAATTAAAGGTTGGGGTGAGAACCTGTCGCTTGGGTCGACAAAAGAGATGTCGGGAGCGAGCTTGAAAGTGCACTCGTCGGAGATGGGGGTTTCGGCGGTGAGGTGGTCCCGACGGTCGATGATTAAGTCGCCCGTGTAGCCCAGCAACGCTAGCAGAAGCTCGTGCAACATTGCTGTCTCTTGAAAACTAACCTATCGATTGTGGCGAGGATGCATATGTGGAAGAGTGAGGGAATGGGAATTGTTGGTAAACAAGTGTTGGAGTAGATCGGAGAAATTTGAACTTTTGTTTAGTCTCGAGAGAGTCCAAAGTGAAAGTTCGAAGAGCAGTGAGCAGCGGCAAGAGGTATTTTTTCTGCAATACCCCTCCCAGAACACAACACATACCGCTTGCTACTCCTTGGTTTTGAAATTTTGGTGTTAGCAAATTATAATTTTCTAATTAATATAACTAATACATAATGTTGTTTTTTTTTATACTTTTTAATAATAAAAAGAAATAACCAGTCCAAAAAAAAGCAAAAAAAAAATAGTATTATTTTATTATTTAAACATATAATTTAGTGGTTGTGTATGTTTTTGTGCAACACTATACATTTTTGTTAATTATAGTTGATTTTATTGAAGTTATTATATTGTGATGATTTTGTTTTTGATTGTTAAAAAATTCTAGAATTATGAAATTTCTTATGATTTTTTAGTTATTTAGAAGTATCTCTAAGTAGATGTCAAGTTTAACATGTAAGAGAAGATATATAACGTCTTTCTTAAAAAATAAACTTCATAAGTTCAATTTAAAGTTAGAGTTTAGAGAGAATAACTTTGGAGTCATAGTGAAAACACTTTTTCCCCAACTTCACATAATTTCTTCTACTCTTCCCCCTAAGAGCAATTGTAGTTGCTAGTTGGCGATTCAAGCTTCCGAGCAAGAATTAGATTCATTGGTGGTGGTGGTGCTAAGTTATCAAAGTTTCGACTTGTTTCTTCTTTCTTTGATTCTCTTGGAGCTAGAGGTAAGGGAAGCTAGAATTTGGTTTCTTATTGATTTGTGAAGTATATTTTATGACTATTGTTAAATTGTGGATGTAATGATGTTTGAGATAGAAGACTTGAAGTTGTAGGTTTGGGTGTTTTCTTGAATATGTCGGGGAACTTGATGATTTGGAATAAATTGTGGTTGCTTGTTGTTTTTTATGATAGAATGGAGTTAGTTGAGATGTATATATGTTATTTTTTGTATTGCATGTGTGCAATCATTTGAGTTTCATATGGATTGAGCCAAGTTGTAATTTTGCTATGTGCGAGAATCACCATCGCATCAAGCACGTCTTCATGATGTCGTAGTGGCTTAAATCAGGGGTCTCTATTATGATTACGTGCAAGCATAGAATTAGTGGCATCAGACATGAGGATAGAGAAAGTCTCTAAACTGGTCATGTCGGACCCAAGTTAAGTGGTGCCTAACGTGATTGAGATAGAACTCTCTATCTAGACGACACTAGGTGCCAATGTGGTGACATCAAGCGAGAATCAGGCAGTGACTCTCTGCCTAAAATGGGGTCTGGTGTGGAAATTCTCACGCCAGACTTAAGGGCAACAAAGGCTCTCTACCTCATACACAACAGGTGCAAGTTGAGTGGCATCGGGCGTGGGCGAGCTCAAGAGCTCTCTACCTCAATGACGCTAAGTGCAGGAAGAATGGCGTCGAGCGTAGTTTGCCTAAAATGAATATGCTATTTTTGGCTAAGTGTTGAACATTGTATGTGTAAGTAAAAGATAGCTTACATGTTGTATGTTGTTGTATGATGTATATAGATAACTAAACGATTGGAATGTAGCATGAGTCGTATGTTATGTAGAGTTAAGTAGCAGCTATGTTAAGAATGCTTAAGGCATGGTGTTGAAATTATGTTGATTAACTTAAAACTAGAGAAAAAGTTGTTTTAAAAGTTGGATATCCTTCGTTATCTCATTACGAGGATATTATTGTGATGTTGTACAAGCCCAGTTGTTGAAAAACCATTCTTTGAAATTTGACCCTTGAAGTTAATTGTTAAGTCTCCTCTAAGGCTTTAGTTTATGCGATATATGGACAAGATTGAGGCATACTGTATATAAGAGACCATTGTTGATCCGTATGGGGGGCTAACTCAAGTCATACATGTATAAAATGATCAAATTAGAGTAAGGTACAAGGTCAAGGACAAAATCCATAAGTATTGGAAGGGGCATAGTATTTGGAGGTAGCCAGCGAGCTAATCCCATGAGACTTTATTATGCATGCTAACATTGTGGTAAATTCACACTTAAGTTGTCCTACCTTAACAAGAGTTTTAGACCTTTTTAAGGTAAGTGGAAAAATTTGAGAAACCATTTTATTATGGGTTTTTATCCAAATTGGCTATTGATCTAATTGGATAAAAAAGATCACATTGTTGTTAGTTTGATAGGATCAAGTCACTTAAATTGCTCATTTATGTTGTAGAATATCTCCCAATTGAAATGTATGATGACGCATATAGTTGACTTGTGCATATGCAATTAAGTTGTTGAATTGTGTGATGCATATACCATCTTATATGTTATTCAAGTTGAATAATAAGTTGTACATCTGATGTGTTGACATTTATGTTGTTCACATGTTATCTTTGGGGTGTTGAGTTGTATTCTTGTGTTGCTATAGTTTAGTATCATATTGTATTATGTTGACAAGTTGTAGGTTAATGTTATGTTGAAGTATATTAGGTGCTTATGTTGGTAGTATAACAGTTTTTACTTTTATATTACTTATGTTGATTCTTTTGAATACTAGCTTATCCTTACATATTTTCATGTGGTTGGATTGTGATAATTGTATTTTGGTATGGGAGCATAGTAGGGATATGTATGAAGAGGAGTACATCCGAGGCCATATTGGCAATGGTGTTGGTGTTCTTTTGAGCTACTATGATGTAACTGATGTAGTATGTTGTTTGACCAACAACCTAGGCTTATATACTTTTTCAATTGATTATTTTGAATTACTATAGATAAATTGTGTGTGTGTGTACAAGATATAATATAGTTCATGGAGGAGAACATTTGTAAATTGTATAAGTTGGTTTTTTTTTATTATTATATATATGTTTATCCTCAAGGCTATTTGTATATTAATCTTTGGTAGTTGTAAATCTATTTTCCAATCCCTTTAATCGAGATTACATGACCCAAAAACTTTACCTCATCCAACCAAAACTCACACTTGGAGAGTTTGGCAAACAACTACATGTCCCTCAAAATCTTTAACACCAGCCTAGATGTTTTCTATGCTCCTCCAAAGATCTTGAATAGATAAGGATGTCATCTATAAATACCACCACAAACCTATCTAAGAACGGTCTAAACATTATGTCCATATAGTCCATGAACACTATCGAGACATTAATCACACCAAAATGCATTATTGCATACTCATAATAACCATACTTAGTCTTGAAAGCGATCTTATGTATGTCATTGTCCTTTATTCCAATCTAGTGGTAACCTAATCTCAAATCTATCTTGAGGAAAATAGAAGCTCCCTTCAATTAATCCATTAAGTCATTTATCCAAGGTAGTGTATATTTGTCCTTAATGATCAATTTATTCAACAGTCATTAGTCCACACACAACCTAACACCATCGTCTTTCTTCTTGACTAATAAAATTGGAGCACCCCATAGAGACACACTCGACCTCACCATCTATTTCTCCAACAACAAAGGTGAGCAATCTAAGTGACTCAATCCTACCAAATCAACATATTTTTTTATTACAACTATTAAATTAACAACCAAATATGATACCAATCCCTAATATAATTTCTTGGATGTCGCCATTTAAACTAGAAAGTCTAATATTCTTGTCAATGTATAATAACTTGGGTATGAGCCTACCATGATATTAACTTGCAACACTAAGTCCCCTATCAGATTATCCCTCATACTACCCTCCAAATACTATGCCATTCTAGTACTCAATTAAGGACTAAGCCGTTGACCTTATACCTTACTCAATTGATCACTTTATATATGTATGATTCAACCTTACCCATATACGGATCAACAATAATCGCTTGTAATTAGTATAGCTCGATCTGGCCCTTATACTCTAGTCACTTATAGCTAGTATCAGGGGTGGGCAAAATTAACCAAACTGAGCTGAACTATTAAATTACTGAATTATATTAAACTAAAAAAATTGAACTATTTCAGATAAAAACTAAATTAAACCATTTTCTAGTTCAGTTTTAAAAAATTGAACCTATTACGTTGCAGTTTGGTGCACTGCAATTAACTAAAAAAAACACGTTTCAATTTGCAGATACCCAGGGCTCCTAAATCAGAATCTATAATCGCAACTCGCAAGGCTCTTCACTCACCAGCCACGGATTCTTGGTTCACCATTCCTCCTTCCTCACTCATCAGCCACGGATTCCTGATTCACCATTCCTCCTTCCTCACTCACTAGCCACGGATTCTCTCTTCTTTCTTCACTGTAAGGTTCACTTTTTCTATGTGAAATTTCATTTGGGTATCCTTTTTTCCCCTAAAATTTATGTTTTTTTTATTCCTTTGATGATTTCCCGCTTACTTTTTGTGCCTCTGAAAATTTGGTCTTTGTGTGATTTTGTTTTTGTTTTGATGTGTGGGTATTTGGGTTATGGCTTTTTCTTATTAAAGTTTTGACTTTTGAGTGTAGGGGTGTGGGAAATGTGTTGGTTAAAATTTTTTCATTCATCAATCACACACTATATGTTTTCGTTACAAAATTTGTGCACCAATTTTAGAAATCATGTATTATTAGACTTATTTGTTTAGTATATAAGTTTGTGTGTTTTGGTATGAAAATTTCAAGCCACATGTCATGTTTTGCTAATTTCATTGATTTGTAAAGCCAGGATTGTTCAACAAGTGCAACAACTTTCCAATAATTAAAGTAATTAGTAATTAGTAGTAATTAGTAATATATGTTCCTTACATCCTTGTTTTTTGTTATTAGATGGACTTTACATTTCCAAAAACCATAGAAACTCTCACACCAGATGCTTTTGGAATTAATGCTTTACCCCCTTGTATTGATTCATCATCGAGTGGGCAAAGTAAAGGTCGGTCAAACATGTGAGAACATTTTACTAAACAAAAACCTTATTCTAAGAAGAAGGCTAAATGCAATTACTGTGGAGATTTGAGTAAATATTTGGCTGGGACAAGTGGCATGACGAATCATTTGATGAGGTGCAAAGAAAATCCTAATAGAGAAGTATTCAAAAGGCAAAAACTTTCATCATCAACTACGGAAGGGGTTAGTGTTGGCCCTTCGCCAACTATTTCTAAATTTGACCATAATGCATCTCGAATGAAGTTGGTGAAGATGTTTGTGAAG